AAGGAACTTAGACCCAGATTGCCTTTGTGTGGTAGGATTATTGAGGAAGATGGAGCTTTCTTTTTCTTTTTTTTCCCATGGATTTTGGAATTTTCCAATTAAAAATAATTACTATGCATTATTTTTATAATTAGTAAATAATGAAATAGGTGCAATACTTTTAAATATATGCATAAGATGTTAAAGATATTTAGCAGTATTCAGAATCTGCATGAGTTGTTTTCTAAAGGGATGTTAGTGGGTGCCATAATTGTCACAAATCTTCATAAATCCTGGGGGTGGGAGGAAAGAGAAGACATATATTTTGTAAAATCTCCCCAGATATTTTGCTGTGTGCTGCCTATGAATTGAATATACTTAGTTCATCTGTTATTACTGTTGCTCTGATTCTAACTAATATGAGATCCAATGTCTTCTGACCCTTCCCATTGTACCACTTACTTATATGATATCCGAGTTTGTGGTCTGGGAGGCCAGCAGTCAAGAGGAAGTTTATCTTCTCTTAGAACTAGGTGCTTTCTGTGTAGCTAGGATATGTGGTCTTTTGCATGGGGAGTGATTCTGCAGTTAAGACAGTGGTTCTCAACCCCAGGGTAATTTTGTCCCTCAGGGGACACTTGGCAATGTCTGGCGACATCTCTAGTTATCACAACTAGGATGCTACTGGCATCTAGTGGGTAGAGGCCAAGGTTGCTGCTAAACATTCCTCATTGCACAGAACAGCTACCTAAAACAAAGAATTATCCAGCCCAAGACATGAATTGTGCTGAGGTTAGGTAAGACCAGGCTCCGAGTAACTTTTAGAAGGGTGAAGAAAGGAATACTTCAGTTCTTTTCTCAAATCTACTATAATTTTATATGCACATATATGATACTATACATTTTTATTATTATTACTATTCTCTTAATTTAAAGAGTAAACACAATGTAGACTACAATCAGGAAATATCAATAACTGTTCTTGGTATGACCAATGTCTTATGCATTTCAAGTGTCATCAGTCTAAGTCATCAACCAATATTTATCTCCACCATCCAAGAAATAAGTTTTTTTTTTTGTTTGTTTTTGTTTTTGGGAAAAAAAGGCTTTCTTCAGCTGGGCACAGTGGCTCACTCCTGTAATCCCAATACTTTTGGGAAGCCAGGGTGGACAGATCACTTCAGGACAGGAGTTCAAGACCAGACTGGCCAACATGGTGAAACTCCATCTCTACTAAAAATACAAAAATTAGCCAGGCATGGTGGCACGTGCCTGTAGTCCCAACTACTAGGGAGGCTGAGGCAGGAGAATCGCTTGAACTCAGGAGGGAGAGGTTGCAGGGAGCCAAGATCATACCACTGCACTCCAGCCTGGGCAACAGAGTGAGTGAGACTTCATCTCAAAAGAAAGGCTTTCTTTAACTGGTCTTGAATCTCTTGACATGGAGCAAAAGCGTAAGACTTTGTGGTACTGGAGGGCAATTCAGCATTAAAAGTCTGAACCTTGTTCCTATGCCAGCAGAGGCTGTCATCTGCCATTGCCACAGACAGGTTTAGCCTCCTGTTAGGACTACAAGGGCAGTTGAAGTGAAGGCCACTCTCTGCTTTCTGGCTTCTCGTTTCTGTATTTTTCTGATCTCTGCATCAGGAGAGACCAGCAGGGCCCCCTGCTCTCCCCTGAACCATCTCTTGACTCTCATTTCCAGAGTAATCATTGCCTTATGCTACTTAAGGACTTGCTTTAATCATGTATTTTATGTATATTTGCATGTAATATTTAAATGTATTCAGGAAATAGTCACCTTGGTTTTTATGGAGCGCCCTTAATACTTTTACAGCCTCACTTTATTCTCTTTTACGCCTAAGTATTTATGGAAGGGGAGGAGGGACATTCAAATGACCTGCAGGGACATTTGAAGCTGTACCCTTTCCTCACTCTGTCTCTGCTTCACTCACCTTCTCTCATACATTGTTGAAAAACATTTTAAGTGGTCCTACAAATGATCTATCATAGACTGGGAGTGATTCTGGGGCAAAAATCATCTCTGCTGGACTCTTTCTCTATTGCAGCAGTTACTCCCAAATTAAATCTGTCCTCATTGCTTTAACGAGCTTTCAGGCTTTGCTTTTTTTTGATGTAACACTTTTGAGATATGTTCTAAAGAACAAAGAATATTTCACCAGGGAGGTCAAGGAGATGCCTAATTCAGGAAGAAGTATAAACATTTTACACACTAAATTCTTGGGCCTTCAAGATTTTAAAGGACCTACAAAGATGTTTGAGGCAAAAAAAAAAAAAAAAAAAGAGGGGTAAGGGAGAGAAATGCATAGGAAATTACAAAATGGAGCTAATAAAAATAGCATATTGTGGCCTGGCACAGTGGCTCATGCCTGTAATCCCAGCATTTTGGGAGGCCAAGATGGGTGGATCCCCTGAAGTCAGGAGTTTGAGACCAGCCTAGCCACCATGGTGAAACCCCATTTCTACTAAAAATACAAAAATTAGCCAGGCATGGTGGCGGGCACCTGTAGTCCCAACTACTTGGGAGGCTGAGGCAGGAGAATCGCTTGAACTCAGGAGGCGGAAGTTGGAGTGAGCCAAGATCATGCCACTACACTCCAGCCTGGGCAAGAGACCGAGATTCCATCTCAAAAAAAAAAAAAAAAAGCATAGTGTAACCTCACTTATTATTTAATTTGGGAGTCACCAAAAGAGCTTACTAAATTTCAAAACCATTTGTAAGTTATATTTTCCTCCCTTTGCAAGAATGCCTTAATATGTAAGATGGATGAGATAAACAATCATTAATTAAAAGTTAGGCGTATCTAATTTCAAAAGTAGAATGATAAAAATCAGGAGTCCTGGAATTATATATATGTAACTCTACCACTAATTATTTAATCTTGAGCTTCTGCTTCTTCTTCCAGAATATGAAGGCGTTGACGGTCTCAAGTTCTCTTCTGTTCTGAACAGCTATTCTACAAAAGTTCCCATTCTAGAGACTGACATATTTTTTTCCTCGCCTTAGACTGAAACAACCTCGAGCCAGGAAGATGTTAGATGAAGGAGTAATAGTTGCTCTGGGAAGTGATTTCAATCCCAATGCATATTGCTTTTCAATGGTAATTATTTTTTTCATGTGCCTTTCTGAGCAGACTATCTACCAAGCATATAAATAATTTAAAAATATTTCACTAGCTGTTAAAACAGTGTTAAAAATCTAAAAATACCTTCTGTGAAACAAGAAAAAAAGGGGTAGACAGCAGTGTAATTGGATTTTTCTGTCCCAGATAAATGCCTGCAGGCATAGAGAGGAGAGAAGCTTCTACATGCATTATTTTCTGATTCAGCTTTGAGCATTGTGGTTTTACAATAACCCATTTCCTTTCTCCAGAGAATAGCATAAACTCCAAGAGGTCTTAGTTAGTAAGGGTGGAAGTGAACTTCATTGTGTGCAGTAAGCGGTCTTGAAAAGTTGTCAATAAATATTAAATACACAATCCCTTTAATAAAATAAATCCCTTTAATAAAATAAATCTCTTTTCCAAAATATAAGAACCTTTATGTATAAACTTCGATTTTTCCCATTGCAATTGAGCCAATTCCTCCTATACCTTTAACTGCCTCTATTTGTTGTGCTGTGTTGAGAAATGTTTTAAATTGCAGTGCCATATGTCACTTTCCTCCAACACTTTTCTCTTCCTGCCTTAGCCAATGGTCATGCATCTGGCCTGTGTAAACATGAGAATGTCCATGCCTGAGGCCTTGGCTGCTGCCACCATCAATGCAGCTTATGCACTGGGAAAGTCTCACACACACGGATCGTTGGAAGTTGGCAAACAGGGAGATCTCATTATCATCAATTCATCCCGGTGAGTGTGCTCCCAACTTAGTGTGCTCCCGAATGATCGATCATAGACTAGGAGTGAGTCTAGGGTAAGAATCATCTCTGCTGGACTCTTTCTCTATTGCAGCAGTTATTCCCAAATTAAATCTATCCTCATTGCTTTAATGAGCTTTCTGGCTTTGTTTATTTTTGATATAACACTTTTACCATATGTCCTGAAGAATAAAGAATATTTCGCCTGGGAAATATTTTATATTGTGCCCACTGAAGTATAGAGATGAGGCCTAAATCCCTTTTCCACTAATTATTAGTGTCAGACTCTGTGTGGACTCAGGCACTAGCCAGTCCCCTCTATGTTGACCCCTTTCCAATGAGCAAATCTACTGACAGGCCCTCAACGACAGGGCGGATCAAGTTTTCAAGATCTCTTCATCTGTCTAGTATGTTTTGTAGATTTCCAGGTTTCTGCTCTGTTTACCTGGACTTTGGCTGGGTTGTGCCCTCTGGCGTGTGTTTGTGTTTTTCTGCTCGGCTTCTGATTTTCAACTAGCTCCCAACTCTGGCTTGTCACCCTGGTTCTGATTCATTCCCTCTCTGATTTCTCATGCCGACTGGATCCCAAAAGCTTAAACTTAGTTTTCCTGTTCCTGGTGGCTTATCACTCACCCACCCATAGTCTGTTTGCCACCTGGGCCTCCAGGGTGATATTAGTCTGTTGTCACACTACTAATAAAGACATACCCGAGACTGGGTAATTTATAAAGGAAAGAGGTTTAATTGACTCACAGTTCTACAGGACTGGGGAGGCCTCCCGATCATGGCGGAAAGCAAAGGAGGAGCAATGTCATGTCTTAAATGGCAGCAGGCAAGAGAGCGTGTGCAGGGGAACTCCCATTTATAAAAACATCAAATCTTGTGAGATTTATTCACTATCATGAGAACAGCATGGGAAAGACCTACCCCCATGATTCAATTACCTCCCACCAGGTCCCTCCCACAATGTGGGAATGATGGAAGCTACAATTCAAAATGAGATTTGGGTGGGGACATAGCAGCCAAACCATATCAGGGTCTTACTGTTCCAGATCTACAAGCCGTAAATCCTATGGCTACTTGACTCTTACAAGCCCATTGCAGCCCTTGAACCTCATGTCCTCCAGAGACACCTGCTTTAAAATTCTCTCCATGATCAGAAACCACTTCCTGTATTGAATATAATGCTGATGGTGACATTTATGTATCACTTAATGAAGCAAATATTTTAAGATCAAGTACTTAAATGATATTATTAAATAATGTTTGATTTGCCATAGACCAGTTAGTTATGTACTGTTTTTTAGAAAGCCCAAATACCATTGACTGGGTGTAAATAAATGTGTAGGGAATGCATTTTAAAATTAGCATTTATTGATAAAGTAATAATTTTTACTTGCACACATTGAAGTAATTTTTTTTTTTTTTTCTAGATGGGAGCATTTGATTTACCAGTTCGGAGGCCATCATGAATTAATTGAATATGTTATAGCTAAAGGAAAAGTCATCTATAAAACAAGATAGATTTGAAAAGAAAAGATTTTTTGACTATATGAAATAAGTCAATATAGTTATATTAAAAGTTAAAACACCTTAATATTTACCAGAATTATATCACTTAAACCTAAATGTACTTCAATGTCTTTTTAAGTCACTCAAAAAACCCCAGAGATAGATTTATTTTCATTTAACACATGCATTTGACATATAAACAGGTAAACCTACTGTGATTAAAATCACAAAACATCCAATTATTTCACAAATATTAGTTACAAATATTCTGTAGATTAATAGGATGGGGTATCACAAAAATGCCTTTGTGGGGAAAAGTAGGCTTGACTTAAAATTTCCATTTTGTGTCTGTATTTCACGTTTCAGTTTTTAAACTATATTTAGTGAACATCGGGGAACGGAAAGAAATCTAAGTGATACACCCCAATGAAGCTAAAATATAGCCTTCTGTTAAGCAAATAGTATTTCCTTTCCCCAAATAGTTTATTTTCTAGATGCTTTTCAAATGAATTAATGTCCTCTGATGAAGAGTGTCCTTCCATTTCTAAGGTCTTCTCAATCTCAGCAACAGAGCTTCCTGGCAGCGTTCAAGACACATCATTTAATACACAGGCATAGGGACCTTCCTGAAATGGATGCATTTTTTCTAACTACAATCATGTAAATTTTTTTTGAAATTTAAAAAATTGTTGATTCTTCACATTACAATTGGGTAAAACATATTTTACAGCTCTCAGTAAACGTTTGCTCTCGCTCTTAATGATGTTGTTTCCTTTCAGCCTGGAAGTAGATCAGCAGCGTTGTCTACTCGAGTGTTTTAGGAAATTACAAGATTATTTGTAAAGAGTGGATAATTATTTACATATAAATGGGTGTTTTTAAAAGCTATGTGAGTTGATTTGAAATCTTTTTAAATGTTTCAGTCATCTTTATAATCACAACTGCATTACCAAACTTGGTAAGAAATGATATGAGAAGTAAAGATTGACTCTCCAAATGATCACTAATGTCAGGTTAATAGAGCCTGAATGAAAGAGGCTTTGCTCTAGTCAATATAAAGCAATTCAAAATGCCCCTCATTGGAAGATTAAGGGTAACACTGCATATTGTTGTCATCACGATGGGGTCTCTGGAGCTCTGAACCTCATGCGATTGTTTAAGAAGTCTTGACACAGTGTGAGGGGCACACAGTTGCTGTGTGTGATGGCTCCCTTGTGACCAGTCACCTAGGCACTGTGAGCATTTGGGATGCAGGAGATAGACATAAGGCCAAAACTGAATGTTAGGTCTGCTCTTCCCTGGAACTTAAGCAACACAAGACTAGCTTCTTCTATTGAAGAAACAAGGAGGAGAAGCACATTTGATTTTTCATCTAGCAGGCACTCACTTTAAACAAATAGCATTCATGCCTTTTTTGAATGAAGGCAGAAGACGACATCTACCCTAAACTGCCCTAGTCCTCCCAGGCCAGTGTGCTGCAAGCCGGTGTAACTCACGGGAATTCGCTAGGAATGCGAAACCTCTGGTTGGACCCAGACCTGTTGAGTCGGAATCTGCGTCCTAACAAGCCCCGGGTGATTCACATACACTTTAAGGTCTGAGCAGCTCTGAGTTCTAAGCCCTAGTCACACCAATCTTCACACTGTTCCTTAGGGGACAGTGAGCTGCTCAGGGCCGT